CGAAGCACAGCTGCCTCCTCCCAGACGTGCAGATGTGCAGTCCCTTCCCAGATGTGTTCCTGTGCATTTCATCCCAGACACACTGCTTAGAGCCTCTCTCCTCCAGCTGGCAACACCTCCTCACACTGCTCCAACTGCGAATGCACACAGCTGCTTCTGGCTTCCCGTGGATCAAGATGATACCCAGAGAGGCTCACAGGACCATGCCTGGCTGCTCAGGGGCAGCTCAGCCTATGACTCTGGGTGGCCTGTGACAGGGCTCGGCCTGGCCAAAGGCGGTGAGGTCCATAAGTTAGCGCAGGACCAGGCGACCTCGGATCAGTTGAGGGAAACCAGTGGAGTCAGCATCCTGGGGCTGGCAGGGCTCATCTGGTGCAGATCCTGTGTCCCAACTGTGTGGCCCCTACATCAGAGGAGCCGCAGGGAACTGGGGAACAGCAGGGAGTCAGAGGACTCCCAGCTCTATTCCCTATCTTGACCGTGTGACCCTGGGCAAGTCACCTTTCTCATCTTCAAGGTTACAGGTAATGAGCCCTCTGTCCTGGATAGAGTGGGCTGAGCCGCTGTGTCTCTGCCTGCCCGAGAGGGTCCTGGACAGAAGCTCCCAGGAAGAGCAAGTTCACCTCAACTCAAGTTCTAGAGCAGGAGATTTTAGGGACCCACCAGGACCATACCCCTGTCCCATCTTACTGAGGCTCACGGAAAATAAGTGACTGGGCCGAGATCATACACCTCACTGAATGACTCTGAGCTCAATTTCCTCATCGGCAAAACGGGAAGAATAATGGTACCTACCTCCTAAGGTTGTTAGCAACAGCAGACGCTAAAAGGCATTGAAGTCTTCCTATATACCAGGCACTCGTGGGCACTAGGTGGGCATTTAAAACTCTTTTAAACTCACAGCGACTATGTCAGGGTGAAATTGGGGCAATCCCATGGCTTTCCTGGCTGCTCCTCAGGCAAGGCAAACAGCCCCGATTTAGTCATTGGAGTGTCCACTCTTGTGTTACGTCTCAGCGTGATTTGCGGCACCTGCGTCCTCAGCGCAGCACAAGACAGGTGAGCAGGGGACTTGGTGGGCTTTGCCCTGGCTTTCCCACCAGCTGTCCCTCCTCCCCAGCGGGCTAACTGTGGTTTCCACCCTCTCCGGGGCCACAGGAAGGAGGGGATGTAGGGGACGGGGCGTGCACACTAGCCTGCTGCCCCATCACCTGCATCGCTCTCCCTGAGAGGAGGTGTTTAAGCTGACTTCTCTGCAGGGGGGTTTTACGAGGTATGAGGAGACCCCCCTATCACTGGGGGTCTCTCTGCTGTGCACCCCCCCAATCTTTTTCCCCAAAAAAGAGGTACATATCAATTTCTCCAAATCTCCTTAAAGCCAGCCTCTCCATCTTGTCCCAAGGTGAACAAGGATATAGCCCCCAGCTACACACATGTCACGTCCAGCGTGGCAAGGGCAAATGGGACACGAGAGGGGCGGCGCAGATTTGAATAAGAACAAGAGAGACAGAGACAGAAGTAATATTTAAGTGCGAGACCAAGGGACTCAGCCTTCAGACAGTCAGACTGAGCCACCAAATCGGGTTGACGCTTGGTTTTTATTGAGAAGTAAAACTGCTGTTGATTAGATTAACATTCATTTGAGGTCAGTGCCTCAAAGCCTTATCTATTAACATATCCATTATGTTCCAGCATATGCTATGCCTTCACATATCCACCACATAGCCCCAGGACACCTTGTTACTGTGTCCTCCCAGAAGAATTAACTGTTGGCGTCCCAACAGGTCCCAATACACCTTGAGACACTCCTCAGAGGGAGTCTTATCGGCCTCTGGTCATACCGAGGCTTTTCTCTCATAGCTAATGGGATTAGAGGCTAAATGCGGGGAGACATGTTTATAGAATTCGGCTGTCAGGCAACACACACACAGTGCTCATATCACTCAAAACCTTCCCTTCCAAAATCTTCTCTCAGTCTCCGCTCCCAACCGTGTGGAGGAGGGTGTCAGAGTCATCTCTGCCACCTGCTTTTGGTGAGTCCCTGTGGGCTGTCTGTGGCATCGCTCACTCCAGGATCTGGTTTCAGCTGAAACTTCTATTTTAACACCTCTAACAGATATGCCCGACCTGAGGGCCCACAGCCTATCCCACCCACCACACTGCTGTTTCTGGGCCTCAGTTTACAGGTCAACAAAATGGGCTGAATGACACCTACCTCACAGGGCTGTTGTAAGGATATATGGTCTCATACAGGTGACAACACTCTGCAGACTGTAAGAGGCAAGGCCACCGCTGGTCACCCAGCCATAGACAGCATGCCCTATTGTGGATGTCTGGCTGTTTTCTGTGTCTCTATCACAGGTAGCCATTCCCCTGGTGGGTACCTGACAAGCTCCTGGAGGCAAGGGATCGTGAGTTTTCCTCTTTTTCACCTGCCTATCTCTGGCACACATGTATTAGGGTGTAGGGTCATCCCTGGCTGATTGGTTAGTAAAAAAAAAACCAAAACAAAACTGTTCCCTTTATGGTGGCATACAGCTGGGGGCAGGGGCCAGGTGGCCTCTATAGCAGACAAAGGGGTGGTCCCTGGCCTGAGAGTGCGGACATGCTGGTGGTGGCTGCTGGGGGGGGGGGGCGTGTAGGGTGTAGATGGACTCTGGGGAGGTGGGTGGGTGGGATAGTAGTGAGAAGAGATAGCGAGTCTCAGGCACTATGTGACACTTTCTTGCCCAGGGTTGCCGCTTAACCCGCCTTATCAGCAGAGAGCCTATTTTTGTAGGTGTTTTCTCTTCTCCTAAGAGCCTATTTTTGTAGGTGTTTTCTCTTCTCCTAAGGAGGGCGAGGTCTCAGCTCATTTCTCACCACCTGCCCCAGAGAGGTGTTGTTAATTACACAAGTGCTCCCTCCCGGGGCTGCTCAGGCCCAACAGCCTGTCAGGAGGAGTCAGTCCAGCCATGGCGCCCGCCCTTTGGGCCTCAGAGAATGTTCACAGACACGCCCCCAACTGCCATGGGTCTCAGGCAATTCTCATCTGTCCCTAGTAAAATGACAACTATACAGGCAAAGCAGAGAGGTTTTCGCCAAATTAAATTTGTTCCACATAAAGCTTTTGTCCTTCTACTCTCAAAGTATGGCCTTCCTCCCTCTCTGGTGTTACATATCCCTTCTAGAGGATGGTGAGAATGCAAATGACCTCTTTACATGAACTTACTCGAGGAAGTGAAAAGCTGGCAGACTCATTCAGTCCCCATTTGTTTTTAATTTACTGCTCTGTGAACTCTGAGTATTTTAGAACTACTGCTCCAAGGAGCCAAGTACAAGCCTTGGTCACTTACTCGGACAGTTGCAGGATTCAGACTCAGGAGTGGATGAATTCCATAGAGTCAGCCATCCTACTGGGAGATGGGAGTCTAGGGCCTGTCCTAGTTCTTTAACTGAGGTGCTGTGTGACCGTGAGAGACACCCTCACCCTCTCTGAACCTCGGTTTCCTCATCTCTAAGCACAGCTAATAATCCATACCTGTGTCTCCCTTAGAACGAGAGGTGGGCTTAAATGATCATTATTCACACCTCAAGAAGCAAGTACCCATGGGGTAGGTGGCTCCTCCTCAGCCCAGACTCTCCACCGTTCTACCATCTCACTCTCTCATCCCATTTTCTTGGACTATTAGACCAGGCCATCTTTAGCGGTGTCCTCAGCAAGTGTCTCCTCTCCCCCAATATGTCTGGCAGAGAGGGAAGCAGCCAATGGGTGGGGAAGGAGAACGAGATTGAAGAGAGAAAGAGGAAAGCAAAGGGACGCGGGGTGAGGGAGGTGAGAGAGGAGAGCAGTCACCTCTGAGGACCTCTGGTTTAGGTCCACGTCCTCCTTGGAGACATCCCTGAGCGCCACCAAATCAGTTCTCCCTCCCTCCACCAACCTCTCTCTCCGAGCAGTGGCCCCGCTCCACCTTGCAAGACCCTGTGCAGACAATACATCCGGCCTTAATTCATCTTTGTGTCCCCAGCCCCTAAGGGTGGTGCTCATAGTAAATGATCAATAATCATTTACTGGACTGAATTGCAAACTTCTCTTGCTTCTCCTACTAGACACGAGGCTCCTCGAGGGCAGGGACTCTGTGTCTGACGCCTATTTATATTCATTCTGCAAAGGGGGGGTTTTATTCAGGTTTGTGTGTTATTTAATCTAATTCACACCAAGTCCTACGAGATTGGTACCAGTGTCATCATCCGCACTTTACAGGGAAGGACACTGAAGCAAGGGGAGGGCGCCATCTTGTCCCATGTCTCACGGTGACTGGGAGGCAGGCGGCCAGGATTCAAATCCTGGCTTCTAGTTCCAGATCTGTGTGCTGAACCAATTAATGCCAATGAGAAGAATGCTTTTAATTTCACTGTATACTCTGGCAGACTCCTCACTCTGCTGTTTTCTAGTAAACTCATCTCCCGGCAGCTGGGTGGTTTTCCCCAGTGTTTGCTCAGGCCCGCCATACATACATAAAGTTTCCATAATCCATGCATATCTTGGCTACATTAATGGGGAATGCTTGGGTGGCCAAAGAGACAGCCTCCCACAGCAGGAAATTCCCCGGGGAATTCTTTACACAAGCTCATTAGCCAGGGCCGAGGCTCACAAAATGGCAGTGAGTTCTGGTCAGAGGAGGCGATGCACGCCCGCTCAGCTCTGCCTCGCACTGGCTGTGTGTTCTTCAGCAAGTCACTTCCCCTCTCTGGGGAAAGGTGGGGGTTTAAATGCATGCTTCTCCTCAGCGTCCTTTCCATGTAACACAGCAGAGATTAAGAAGGTGGCTCCTAGGGTTAGAGAGGCCGGAATTCAAGTCTGGGCCTTGCCTCACTTAGATGATCAGAGATTTTGGTGCCATCCACAGGGGGCTGCAGTGAGCAGGGGTTGGTAGCATATTGTTTATCAACCAAACAGTTCTATGCAAATGTGTAACCACCATCGTTCTCATGATTATCTCCCAAGCCTTTGTCTCCCAGGGTCTCTGAGCACGATGTCCGCAGCTCCCACCAGCAACGGGGTGTTTGTTGTCATCCCGCCCAACAATGCCAGTGGCCTCCGCCCTCCTCCAGCCATCCTGCCCACCTCCATGTGCCAGCCTCCTGGCATTATGCAGTTTGAGGAGCCACCGCTGGAGGCACAGACGCCGAGGGCCACCCAGGCTCCTGACCTGCGGCATATGGAGACATTCCTGACGGGAGAGCCCAAAGCTTTAGGGGTAAGAACAGCCTCTCCAGACGACCTGAGGTGGGTGCTGGGCCGGGAGGGAGCACCCCAGCACTGGTGCATTCATGCACACCTTGGAGAGGAAGCAGGAGGTCAATAAATCCTTAGTGAGGACTTGAGGACTCAGCTGTGCCCCAGACAGCGACCCTTCTGCAGTGGAGCTCACAGAGAGTAAACAAGTAAAGTAATGACCAAGACAGGGTCATGAGGTAAAAATGGTGGGTGGGGAGGGTGGACAGAGAGGTTTCTCTGGGGAGATGGCATTTAAGCCAAAACCTAGCTGTTGGGCTGAAGCCAGCCAAGGGAAGATCTGGCGACAAGGGCTCCCCAAAGAGAGGGAACAGCAAGTGGTGTTCTGTACCCTAGGATGACCTGGCTGTCAGGTTCAACTTTCAACCCCACTGCTCCGTCGTATCCAGGAGCTTTGACTTGAACATGCTGGAATTTAGGATTCTACACTAACAGCTGCACCAAGTTCACTGGTGCCTGAAGGGACTAGAGACCATGAACACAGATGCGGTCATCAGTTGCTGGAATCCTGAAACCTCGGGGCTGACCCTGGGAACCCAAGACCTCCAAAGGAATTTGACGAGATAAATACAAATTGCTGAAAAACAAAAAAGTGAAAGCTATAACTAGATGTTAGGGAATGGCCCTGATGAGGAGAATGCTGGCTTTAGAGTTAGCTGGCCTGGCACTGCACAGCTGAGACCCCTCAGGCAAGCTACTGAGCATCTCTGAGCCTCACCTTCCTTGTCTCCAAAACTGAGATAATAATACCTACCTCATCACAGTAGGGATCAATGAGATAGTGTCTGTAAAACATTGCTTAGTGTAGCCGGGCATTTGGTAAGTGGCAGCTGGTGTTGTATGAGGAGTAATCGCCATAGCGGTGGTGGCCTAGTGGCAGGAGAAGGACCTGCAGAGAAGGAGAGCAGTGTTCGCTGCTGGGGCGCCATGCTGCATAAGGCAGCTGAAAAGATGGAAGACATGCAGCCAAAGAGAAAAACCGAGGGGTCATTCCTGTAAATATCCAGATTCTTGGCACTCATGTTAGAAAGACATATACGGTTCGAGTCCAGCCCGAGCTGAGCAGCCGCTGAGCTGCCAACAGGTAGCAGGATGGCTCAGCTAAAAAAAAAAAAAAAAGAAAGACATATATACAGAGGGTGCCCCAAAAAATGTACACATGTTTTAAGAAAGGAAAACTGTTTTAATATTGTAATACTCAATATATACCGACAACAAAAAATGACTACAAGTTATGTTTTGACTTCTGCAATTACAAGAGGTGCTCAAAGTGGTTACCATCAGCATTCAGGCACTTCTGATGACGGCGAACTACTGCTTGAGCAAAGCTGACCAAAGTGTCCACTTGGATACATTTTTTTTGGCACCCCCGGTATATTCCACATGACCCCAACAATACGATTCTAGCAGTTCAGTCAGAACTGCCCATACGTGGACCACGCTGGTTTGGTTTGGGTGGTGGTGAGCACCTTGTCACTGAGTGCGCCGCTTAGAAGTCAGGGGCTGGAAAGTATTCCTGGATTAAGCAGAGGTTGAATTCAGGGGCCTCTAACATCCCTTTCTACTCAGTTCTAGAATTCAATTGTTACCGAAAAATTTGGAAAGAAATGTGACAGAAGCTACTAGAATCCCACATATCCCCTTCTTTGGGGCAATCACCCCATTTCCGGGAATGGGTCATTGGGGTGCTGGTAAACCACCTGTTTCATAAAAGAAAAAGAAAAAGAAATAAATAAACATTAAAAAAAAAAAAACAAGTCCAGATTTCAGTCAGGTTGGGTCAGCTCCAACCCACAGCTGGATGGAGCAATGATAGACCCTGAAATGAGAAAGATGCTCAAGGAGGTATTCGGTGCAGGCTGTACAGGGGTGAGGCAGGAAAAGGTGAGGCGTTCCACTGAGGGAATGCTGTGTCACTGAAACGGGGGCGAAGAGAACCAGGGAGCACACAGAGCAATGCTTGAGCACCACGGGCCAGAGCACGAAGCAGGATGTAAGCCGTAGAGACGTGGAAACAGGCAGCTGGACCCCGCAGCCTGTGGGAGACTGCCTTTCCCTCTTAAAACGATCCTTTATGGCTGCTATAATGATATCTCCTCAAAAGAACAGAATCGGGGTTTATTTCTCAGTTGCTAACAGTTGGCTGGGGGAGCAGGGCCCTCCGCGGCCGGCAGGGGGCGGTGTGGAGCCGGCCCGCCCGCCAGGCTGAGCCGCCGCCCGCTCCCCGCAGACTGTCCAGATCCTCATCGGCCTCATCCACCTGGGCTTCGGCAGCGTGCTGCTCCTGGTCCGCCGCGGCCACGCGGGGATGCTCTTCATCGAAAGCGGCGTCCCCTTCTGGGGAGGAGCCTGCGTGAGTGAGGGGCCGTCTGGGGTCCGGGCCGAGGTCCGCGTCTCTCCCCTGTGCCCACCCCCCACCGCATTCTCCTGGGCAAAGCCGCCTGAGCCTACATCTACCTCCTAACCGCAGACCCTAATCCTAAAACTGAGCTAGACCCCATTCTTATGAACGCAAAGCTCCCAGCAAAGAGCCTGGCATAGAGAAGGTTCCCAAAAAGGATGGGATGGGGGGGCGGGGGGGAGGGGAAGAGATAAGGACATTAACCACCTGTTTTACCTGGTTCCTAAGCCTCACCCCACATCCAAACTCAGCCTGCGGAAACCCGCCAGCCCCCCTGGTGGGTCCCAGCCCACCATGAGCTCCGCCCCCTGGAAGTCTAACCAGTTCTGAAGCCCCTGAGCCCATTCCTCTGCCCATACCCTGGCCAGCTTGACCACCCACCCCTGCTGGAGTGCCAGGGAGGGTGTCATTATCATCTCCGACATGAAGAGAGCATTTCAGCGTTTGCACCATCCCTGTCCGCCCCTGAGCCTTTCAGCCCCCCAGGAGAGCCCAGGCTTTGGGTTGAGGCCAGTGGGGTCTGGATCACAGCTCGACTGGGCGTACCACGGAGTCCCTTAGGGGAGTCACTCAGTCTCAGGCCTCAGCCTCCTCATCTAAAAATAGGGTCCATAGTTCTGGCTCTGCCTCCCCCATAGTTTGAGGAGATGAAGAGCTAATGCATATGGGAGCCAATTAGCAAGCGTTGATTCGGCACCAGATGGTGGTGACTGTCATTTGCAATGATTTCCCCTTTAGAGAGGGAGTCAGAGACTTGCATGAGAGGGACCTCCCTGGAGTGACTGGGGGTTCCTGAAGCCAGGGCACAGCGACTTCCTTTTCCTGTCCCAGGGTACCTCCAGCAAGAGCTCAAAACCCCCAAAAGTGAGGGGCCAGAGAGGTGAAAGGAAGTGACACACAGCTACAGCAGAATGATCACCTGGCCATCCTGCAGGGACAGGCTGTGGCCCTTCAGACAGTCCATAGTTACCAGAAGTTGGGGGAAATGTCAGCTGATGGGAGAATCTATAGGGGAAATCGCAACCGGGAGAAACTAGCTTCCTCCTGCCAGGCTGTGTCACGAAATATGCCCCAGTAAAGATTTCAAAAATGGTGGAAAGGGGGAAAAGAACACCCTGATTTTTAATCATCAAAGCCATCAGGGTCAGGAATCCCTGGCAGGATGTGTGTGAAACCCAGTATTTAATCATTCAGTGGGATCTTCACGTAGCTGACCTCCAGGGGCCCCTGAAGATATACATGTATTGTGCACATTTCTCTAGAGAGAAGGCTCATAGATTTTGCGAGACGCTCCAAGGAGTCCTTAGTTGAAAAAGTCCCAAACGCCCAGGAAGGAAGGATAACTTGGTGCAGAAGGAGAGAGGCAATGCACCTGGAATGCGGTTCCGGTTCCGGTGGGCCTCCTTCTATGTGACAGACAGGTCACTGCCTCTCTCTGGGGCTCTGCTTCTTTGACTATGAAACATCATGTCCGTCTCCAGCCCTGAGAGCTGGGCTCTAAATCCAGTTTCCATCTTGACGTTTCCTCTTGGTATCAAAGAGGCAATATATCAAAATTAAACCCTTGATTCTCCCTATTTCTCCCCCACCCTCTCCTCATCTCAGTGAATGGACGGCACCTCCATCCATCCATCCTAAGTCATCCTAGACTCTTCTCTCTTCTCACTCCCCGTCCACCCAGAGCAGGTCCCGTCAGCTCACCCTGCTGAGCAGAGCCTGCAAGTGTCCACGTGTCCCCACCTCCACGGCCACCACCCTGGTCCACACCACCTCGACAGCTGTGGCTCCTTCCTGGTTCTCTCATTTGCAGTTTAGCTGAGCGAGGCCTTCCCTGACCACCCAACCCCAGGGAGCCCCCCAGTGATTTTTTATCATGTCGTGACATCTCCTGTCATGACTACCACCTGTATTTCTTGGTTGTTTATTTGCTAAGTGTCAGTCTTCCCCAGTTAGAATAGAAGCCTGTGAGAGCAGGGGCTTGCCTGGTCTTATTCAGCTCTGCTGTGTCCTTGGCACATACCTGCTGCTCAGTAAATGTTTGATGAGTGAATGTTTAAAGGAACATTGCCTTCCCTATGAGGCTCTGATGATAAAATGCCAATGAAAACAAGCTACGGCTAGTACCCTGGACAGGGGCCCCTAATCAGGGATGCCCTTACAGAGAGAGCCCAAGGTGCCTGGCCAGGGGGCAGAGAAGGTGGCAGCCTAGAGACTACTGCCCTGCCCAGTGTCCCAGCCAAAGCCTCACTGGGGTCCTGTCTCCCCCACACAGTTCATCATCTCTGGGTCGCTCTCAGTGGCGGCCGAGAAGAACCACACCAGCTGCCTGGTAAGTCGGACCGGACACCCGGAGCAGGGGTAAGGCCATGCATATTCCATTCCACTAGGACCCCACACTCACTCATTCAGCTCCTTCAGCAAGCATTTCCCGGGAGCTGCTGAGTGCCAGGCGTGGGACAGCACCTAGGCAGCCGAGACAGCCCCTGCCCCACATCGGGGAGGGGAGGAACCAAGATGCACTTTCAAAATACACAGCAGGGCAGGAAGTGAGGGTCTGCGGGCGACGTGCTCATGGTCATTGAGAGAAAGGGGAGATGCAAGAAGGCCTCCTGGAGGAGGAGGCAGCTGAGCTGGGCCCTGGCAGGGGGAAGGGCGAGAAACACTGACGGCAAAGATGAGGCCTCAAGGACAGGTGTAGGCAGGGCTGCTGAGGAGATCCTGTGTGGTTGCATTTGACCAGGGCAGAGGTCTGAGAGGCAAAGTGGAAAGAAATCAGATGGAGAGGTGCACTAGGTCCACACCACCAGGGAAGGCTCTGGTGCCTTCTGCGGGCAATGGGGAGACGACTGAGCCCTTGGACAGGAGACTGCTGAGCGGGGCCATTCTCCCGAGGTCCGGGGGGGAGGCTAGGAGGAAAGGCGGAGCCAACAAGAACTCAAGTCAGTGGGGCCACTGTCCCCTGGCCGTGGGAGGGCTGGGTGTGGGAGGCTTGGGCCGGGGAGAGCTGTTGCCTCTTGTCCTCTGTCCTCCTCCTTGTCTCTTCCCTCTGCTCCTTTCCCTCCTGTCTCTGTCTGTCTTGCAGGTGAGGAGCAGTCTGGGGACGAACATCCTCAGTGCCTTGGCGGCCTTTGCTGGGACAGCCATTCTGCTCATGGATTTCGGTGTCACTAACTGGGTATGTTTTCAGACACCCCCAGCAGTGGGGAAACGTGGAGAATGGCAGAGCCGTATCAGGGGCTGGGTGAAGCAAGAGTTTGCAGCACCAGGAGGCCAGAGCCCTGGGCCCCGGAAGGGCCTGCCAGTCCCAACAGACCCATGAGCATATTGACCTCGTGACCCTGCCCCCAGCCTGGGTTTGGGGGAACAGAGAGGCAGCCTGCCTGAGTGAGGGGAGGGCACCGGATGGGCAGCAGGAGGACTGGCCCCAGCTGAGGCTCTGCCACCAATAGTGTGACTGTGGGTAAGTTATTCTCCTCTGGTCCCCTTCTCGATTCTAGAATTCTCGACTTGCCTTGACTGTGGTTTTTTTTGTCTCCAGGATGTGGGGAGAGGCTATCTGGCTGTGCTAACCATCTTCACCATCCTGGAGTTCTTTATCGCAGTGATTGCCACCCACTTTGCGTGCCAGGCCACCCGCGCCCAAGCCAACACGGTGAGTACTTCCACCCCAACCTGGGCCTCTGTTTCCAGCCCCCCCCCACCCCACCCCTCACCCCCGCCTACTTCCTTCTGAAAACAGTCTAGAGGGACTGTGCTGCACTGAGCTCCCCACTCATAAATCTGAAGACCCAAAGAATTCTTTGCGGAAAGAGGGGACTATTTTCCTCATGGCCACAGGGGGGCGCCAGCACCAATGGACCCGCCGCTCTGTGAGCCTTGACGCAGAACAGTCAAGGCCCTGGGATCAGGGGATGAGGTGGGATGCTGCACACAGATGAGCAGGGCCCTCCAGAAGTTCATGGGCCATGAAAGAGACAGGAGGCATCAGGAAAAGCAGCACGACGGGTGGAAATTGAGCTTAGTTTCCCAAACACTGGAGGACAGTGAAGCCAGAAAGACGGTGAAGGAGGGCGTTCGTGGCAGGGGAACCAGTTGGAGTAAAGGCTGCTTGGCGAGAGAAAAATGCATGCCATAGAGTGGGGGTGCTGCTGGGGAGGTGGCTTTGTGCAAAATGAGAGGTGAGGCTGTTGAACGTCTTTGAGCAGAGACAGGTATGCTCAAAGGGAGGGCGGGTCAGTAGAGCAGGGCTAAGGGAAGTCAATCAAGAAGGTTCGTCCAACGCAGAGGGGTGGAGGGTTCAGAGAGGTGGGGGCCGGAGGCGGGCAAGCAACACGGAGGCCAGTATGGAAGGCTTGAACCAGTGCAAGGCCGACCAGAGAGAAAGAACTTTAGCTTCTAGAGAAATGGAACTTGTGTCTGTTTTGTTCACCACTGTACTACTCCCAACACCTAGGTCATAGTTGGCTCCAGTAAATATTTTTTGAAATTGTTGAACGGATGACAGTTCTGAGCCGGCCGATTCAGACTTGCAGAATTCATTACTCGGGCTCTGTTCTCAGAATCCCCACAAGGGGGCACTATTGCAGCACCTCCCTGCAGGGAGAGAGCCTTCTAGGATTGTCATTGGGGTTTTTTTTCTTTTCCTTTGCAGCCTGTGATTTTCCTGCCAAACGCCTTCAGTACAGACTTCGACATCCCCAGCCCCACGGCCTCCCCACCCCCCGCCTATGACAACGTGGCATATGTGCCCAAGGAGTCGTCCGAGTAGTTGGTCACTCTGGCCGGTTGGAGTCCAGCTTTTCCCCTCTGGCCCCAGCGTCTCCTTACGCCCGCCTTGTTAATCTCAGGCAGCCCCACTCCCAACCCCTGCCAGCCTTTATAAACGTGGCACCTGAGTGAAGTCTTCCCTGATAACGTCGGTCCCACACAATTCCCACAGCGATTTCTTTCCTTAAAGACCTTGTTTATCTCAAGGGTGAGTGCTCCTCGCCCACCTGGGCCCCATCACCCTCCGGAAATGACCTCTGGGATGCTATGCATTTCTCTCTGCTCACTGGGGAAACCCCAGCCTCACTGGGAGACAGGTTCAGGGGCTGCCCGGGCCCTCAGGCCTGGGGAAGGTCATTAAGCCCAGGGAGCCCAGAAAGGAATACTGAACACAGCTGCTGAGGCTGCACAGCTGGCAGTGACCTGACCTCACATCTCCAGGCCCCAGGACCTGCTCTGTCCTTGTAATCTGCTACCATGTCATTGGGCCTCAGTTTTCACATCTGGAAACAAAAAGCATTGAACCAGATGATGTAAAAGGCCCTCCCAGCTCCCCTGAGCTCCCTAAAGTCCTGGTCTAAGTCAGGTACTGTGCCCCAGCTGCTCCAAAACATTCATTTCCTTATATGTAAAACGGAGTTGGTATTGACTCTGGCTCTGCTCACCTCCCAGGGCTGGGTAGGTTGAAAGAAGGGCTGAAGCCAGCCCACTGTACCCTGTCAGCATCCACAGGTGCACAGAGATGGTGGCCCCTTCCTAGGAGGCTCAGGATCTCCCTGAGCCTTTCATCACCCTCTCCTGCTCCCCCAGCCTGAGGAGCAAGGCTGCCCCTAAAGGTTACAATGAGCTATGCTGGATCTGGGGCCAGGGAGACACCTCCGCCTGATATCAGAGGCCCTGGCAGATGGCTCATCTCATCCACACCACAGAGGGAAATAAACAGTGGGGCTTACAGTTTGAGCTGGTCTCATTGCAATGACTTTCTTTTTAACTTCAGGAGCTTCTAAGGGTTGTCCCATATTTATCAGAAGACCTGGGTACCTGTCCCACTGTCACAGCCAAAGAATATCTCTGGGTTCTGGGGCTCTGTGTGCGATCCTTACACTTGTTCTGTCCTCACCTGGGCCCAAATACGCAGGCATTCATATCCCTACTCTACAACTGAGGACATGTAAGCTTGAAGAGATTAAGTCAAGTGCCCAAGGGGGGCCGGCCGAGTGGCTCAGTTGGTTAAGAGCTCGCTCAAGGGTTTGAGCTCTGAGCAACAGCGGTTCGAGTCCAGCCCAAGCTGAGCAGCCGCTGAGCTGCCAACAGGTAGCAGGATGGCTCAGCTAAAAAAAAAAAAAAAAATCAAGTGCCCAAGGCCACTAAGCTAGTAAGAGGCAATGCTGGGAATTGGACACAGCTCCATCTGAGGTCAGAGTCCATGCTCTTACCACATGGCTCGCCACAGTCCAAACACAAGTGCTTCCCACAAACCTCTTCCCCTTCCTCCTGTTTCTTCATCGCTAAGACTAGCACAGGGCTGCATTCCTCAGCACCCCAACTTCTTCCTTCTTCATCTAACAAACTCGTGCTCCTACTTCAAAACCCATTTTAGTGTTGCCTCTTCTGTGAGCTCTTCCCAAAGGAGGGTAGTCAGCTAGATGGCTAAGTGCCCTTCAGCCACAGGTTGGGGCCAGCGAGGCCCCATTTAAGGAGGCGCTCACTCCCAGAGTTGTGCACATGCAGAGTTGGGGTGGGGGTTACAACCAGCTTTGGCTATCAGAGGACCCTTGAGGACTTGGAGCTGAGAATTTAAGACCATAAAGTATAGAGTTGGAGGAAATCGCAGATTTAAGACCAGTTTTTCTCATAGAGGAGAACAGAGACATTTTTTAACAAAGGGGAGAAGTTTGGAGAGAGGGAGGGAGGAAGGGGGAAAAAGGAGGAAGAAAGGGCTTGGCCTCAATTCACTTGGGATTATCATGTCTGTCCCCTGTTGACTAAATCCCTCAGGGGGCGTGGGGGCTAAAACCACAGGTCAAGTAGGAGGAATTGAAGAGCTGGATGCTTTTCCACATCCCAGGCTGTAATCTGGGAAGACTGCGAGGCCCTTAGAGATGTCCCATGTGTAGACAGCATGGAGCCAGGATGTGGAGCTGAGATGGCTGAGGGCTGTGCCTGGTGGCATGACACGGAGTCCTACACTCCCAAACCAGTATAAGTAAAATCACCAGAAAGCTTTCTGTGGCCCCCAAGAGGGAAGCACAAGAGACTGAGAGCGCCCAATGTGCAATGTGGATTGTATGAGACTATAGCTTTATAACGAAGAAGAGTGGAGACAGTGGCCACCAGTAAGAGCCCAGCAGGGACAGACCACGGCTTGTGGATTGCAAGTCACGGGAAGTGATTACGTTATCCTCACTTGGCAAAACTAAGCTTTCTACCACTGAGAGGAAACGGAGCTAGAGAAGTAATTACCGGGAAGAAGAATTCTGAAAACTACAAAACATTACTAAGAGACTATACTAATGAAGATCTAAATAAATGAAAAGATATATACTATTTTCATGGATTGGAAAGTTCAAAATTTTGTTAAAGTACCATGTAGCTCCAAAATTTATCCACAGATTCAAAACAATCCCATTCAAAATTCCAGAAGCTTTTTGGGGGGAACTTGACAGGCTAATTCTAAAATTCATGTGGAAATTCAAAGGATCTAAAACATTAAAGAAAACCTTAAAGGAGAACAAAGTTGGAAGAGTTAAACTACCAGATTTCAAGACTTACTATAAAGCAATAATAACCAAGACAGCATAGTTTTAGTGCAAAAACAAACAATTAAATCAATGGAATGGAATAGAGAGTCCAGAAATAGCCTCTCACATACACAGGTCATTTGATTTGTGACGAAGGCGCCATTGCAATTCAGGGGACAGAAGATGTTCATTTCAATAAACAGTGCTTGAGCAATTGGATATTGGGATAGGAAAAAAAAACAGCTTTCATTTCTACATCACACCATAAATAAAATTTAATTGAAGATGAGTCATGGACCTAAATTTGAAAATTAAAAAACAATTTTCTAAAACATTAGGAAAATATCTTTAGTACTTTGGGGTAAGCAAAGAGTTCTCAAACTGGACACATGCACACAAACACTAGTCATAAAAGAAAACATGATAAATGAGAGTTTATTAAAATTAAGGCCCTCTGTTTATCAAAAAACACCACAAGTGTGAAAATGTCCCACGGACTGGCAGAGGATTTTGAAACACATAATATCTGACAAAGGGCTCATGTGCGAAATACATAAATCAGTCCTGGAAATAAGGAAAAGAGAGACAGCTCCATTATAAATCGGCAAAGAACTTGAACAGGCACTTCACATAAAAGGATATCAAAATGGCCAATAAGTGTGCTCAACATCATTAGTCATTAGAAAAATACCACAACACGTCAAAATGGCTAAAATTAAAAAGATGGACTATGCAAGTGTTGATGAGTTTGGGGAACTCCTTTTCTCAAACATTGCTGGTGGGAGTATAATTTGATATAACCGCTTCAGAAAAAATGTTTGGCAGGGCCAACTACAGCATACAATATAACCCTACAATTCTATTCCTGTATATATACCCAAGAGAAATGAGTGAGTATGTCCACCAAAAGATAAGTACAGAGTTTTTAATGGCAGCTTTACGCATAATAGGCAAAAACTTGAAACATCTCAAATATTCATCAAAAATAGAACTGGTAAATGAATTGTGATATAGTCATAAAATATGAACGAATAAACAAAGAACAAACTACCGATACATCTAACATGCAGATATATCCCTGAGTGAAAGAAGAACATACTGTATTATTCCACTGATACGAATTTCAAGAACAGGCAACATAAACTGATGGTGAAGTAAGTCAGTAGAGCGGTTTTGCCCTAGAAAGTGGCAGTACTAACAGAATAGGGCATGAGGCAGTCTCCTGGGGCATTGATCTGGGTGATGGTTACATGAGTGAATACATAGACAAAAATCCATCTGGCTATACATATCTGTGCACTTTATGTAATTACCTTACCAATTTGTAAAGTAAGGAGAAAAATGAAACAGAAAAAGTTACTGTATTAGTTAACTGTTTCTATGTAACAAATTAGCACAAACCTAATGGCTCAAAACAGCATGTGTATTATCTCACAGCTCTGTGCTCAGGATCCAGGCACAGCTTAGTCTTCTGCTCAGGGCCTTGCAAGGCTGCCGTCAAAGTGGCAGCCGGGCTGCATGCTTATCCAGAGGCTTTACTGGGGAAGAAAGCATGTCCATGCTCACGCAGGTTGGCAGCACTCATTTTCTTGCAGCTATCGGCCTGAGGGCCCCAACTTCTTTCTGGCTGTCAGCTTCGCTCAGCCCCAGAGGCCACCCTCAGCACCTTGCCAGGTGGGCTCCAGCACATGACCATTTACTTCTTCACAGCCAGCTCGGGAACGAGTCTCTAGAGCAAGTCCGCTAGCAAGATGAAGTCTTAGGTAACAACACAATTCTGGAAGTGACATCTCATCACCTTTGCAATAGCCTGCGGGTTGGTTAGAAGCACATCGCAGGTCTCACCCACGCCCAAGGGGGAGGGTTATTGGGGACCACCTTAGAATCTGTCCACCACAGTTACACTTTTGCCCATTTGAATTCTGCGAATGTGAACATGAAATGTGTTTCATTCTCTCCCAGCTTAAAAAGTCCTATCTAGATCCCCTAAAACCTTTCAGCCATGGGTTTGTTTGTTTGTTTTCTCTTCTTACCAGGGTCCACCTCCTCACCTCCCATTCACTCCACTGAAATTGCTCTCTCTAAGGGTATTGTCATTGACCTCACTGTCACCAAAACCAATGGGCATTTTAAAATCCATATTGTGATAATAATAACTCCATCTATCCCTTAAGTGCTGCCTATCCTGACTCTCCTCTATGCACTCTGCACATTCCCTAGGTGAGCTCATCCGCTGCTGCAGTTTCATTTAATATTCTATTCAGCAAGTGCTCCCTACCATGTGCTCTGGGGACGCCAGATGTTAGCCAAAGTCCCTGCTCTTATGGAATTGACACGAGTCATCCATCACCATGCTGGCGATTCCCACATCTCCATCTCCCACCCTGACCTCTTCTTGAGCCAGCTTCAGCATCTGCTTTCTTGTCTCGCCGAAAAGGAATTCACATCTTCTCTTCCAACTCAAACCATTTGTCAATCGATGTCACTACAGACCCAGCTGCTGCCCAAGCCAGAGTCCGAGCATCCTTCTTGGCTCAGCCCCATTTATAATTGCCCCCCACTATTCTCCTCGCTCTCCTTTCCCAACTCCGTCCCCTCTCCCCATCCTCCTTCCCAGCACCTGTGGGCCACTGTCGTCTTGGCATCAGCCTCCTGGCCTCCTAACCTGTGTCCCCAGCTCCAACCTGCCCCAATCCATCTCTGGGTTACATAACAGCCAGAGGGAATTTTCTAAAGTACAAAAGCATAAGTTATTGTTCTGCCTAAAGTCACTTGGGGCTCTCCTTTGCCCTCAGACTAAAGTCCAAATGTCCTGGCAACCTTACAGAAGCCCAGCCTCACCTCTCCCCAGCCCCCTGTGACACTTCACCCAGCAGCCATACTGAACCTGGAAAACCCTTCTGCCTAGAATGCTGTCCCCTGCCTGCCCCTTCCACTCTCCTATTTGTCGCTAACTCCCACCCCTCCTTCAAACTTTAGTGTAGATGCCACTTCCTCCAGGAAGCCTCCCCTGGCCTCACCCCTCATGGGAGAGCTGCCCAACCCAGCAGGCCTGAGAGAAGGTAAGTGACCTCTCAGTGGGAGTGACAGCTAAGTGGGTGTGGCGACATTGCTCTCTGCCTGTGTGTGACATGTGTGACATGGAACATGCATGATAGCTGAGCATGAGTGGCCCCTGAGAGTGTCTGGTGACTGTTGTCCTTGTACACAGCACCCAGCACATGCCAGGCACTGCTTTAGGCATCCTACATATTCTAACTCATTTAGCCCTCTAGCAACTCCATGGGTATTATCATCCCCATTTTGTAAAGGAGAGAAATGAGGCCATAGGTGCCCTAGGTCTCACAGCTATGAAGTGGTAGAATCAAGGTTTGAACTCAGGCAGCCCAGACTCAGAGTTGGCTCTGAAGGGCTATGCTGTGCTCAGCAATCTGAGGGCCTCCCCGCCACCTCAGCATAACAGTGGAGCCAGATGGAAAAGCAGGAACCCAGGGCAGGAGCTGGGGGTGGTCAGAGCCCACCCACACCAGAACCGCCATGTCAGGGACTTGCACACCTCCCAGGGTGTGGGCGCCACGCTCAAGGGCCGAGTGGGGACAGGGTGCCAGGGCCAGCGAGACCTCCACCAATCAGCCCAGTGGAATTTGTGGACCATGTCTGGACCCTGATTCAAGCAAATCGAAGGTCACAGACACTTATGAGACAATCTGAGACATTTGAACACTGACCAGATATTTGATATCTAGTAGGGAGCAAAGACTGGGCGAGAAAAGGGTTTCCTGACTCCTGGTGTTGAGCTTTTTATCGACAGGAGTAGTCTCACTGTGCAGCACAGAGCCGTGTCGGGCCTCAGAGTTATGGCTTCGTGCGGAAACATGCCTCGGTGAGCACCAGCGCTTAGCTCGTTTTAATCTTTTAGTTGTGACGTGTGGTCACACTTTATTTTTTAAGAGTCCTTATCTTTGAGAGAGAAATACTAAAGAGGAGGATGTCAGTTCTGTTCACCGATGGGGGAAAAGAGATGAACAAGATCAGTGGAGAGCTGAGGATGGCTGAGCTGGAGGGGGTGGGGGATGGTACAGGAGGTTCACTGAGCTGTTGCGAATCATATGTAAATCACATGGAGACTTACAGTCATCTTCACTCCATCTGTCCTGCACTGTAAACAGGTTAAATGGTCAACATTGGACTTGCCAAGGAGATTTGCAACGATAAAGGAGGGCGCTAAGATTTCACCTGCCTGGGTTTGGGAAATGACCGAGACATTGACAGCTCACGTGCAGCTGGGCAGGAAGCGGGAGGTGGGCCCAGGAGGGGAAGGATCCAAAGTCTAATGTCGTAAAGATATCCTGACCTTCTGGTGCTGCCTGTGTGCGCCTGAGGTGGAACCAGGGGACAGAGCGCGGCTGGAAGCCCGGAGTGGAGGCCCCGGGGCCAGGTGAGTGGTCCCCCATGGTTGGAACAAGGAGGGGAGTGTCTTTCATCAGATTTCTAGAAGCAGAGCCTGAGACAAGGATTTTGCACAATAGGTCAGTGAGGATGTGCTCTCGGGAACAGAAAAGCACGGGAAGCAGGACAGGGCAGGTGAAATCAGCCAAGGTCAGGTATGGTCTGAGCTGCCCGCCCACATCAGCCTGATCCCACGTGGTGGGCTGATCAGAAGCTCAGACTTGGTCCCACCTTGGGGCAAGGAGGCCGTGGTTTTATACGCCATGCTGCAGGGTTGGGGGAAGCATGTAAGCTAAACTCCCAGAAGGGAGCAGCTGTGAGCTCTCAGCACCAACAATTACACTGGCTGGAAATGGGTGTCCACCCCGTGATGAAGACCTGGGAAGTGGGGTCGGGGGCACCAACAGCGTCCACCCCATGGCAGAATTCACTGCCCCATCCTGCTGCCAGTCGCTGACCATTAGAGCTGGGTGGGGCTGCTCAACCATTTCCAGTCCAATCCCAGGAACTCACACACACAGAGCAATTCTGAGGAAACAGAGTCCAAAAGAGAAGAAGGGACTTGTCCAGGACCACTCGGAGTCATGCCTGGGATCCTGGCCTCCTGACATCCCAGAGTGGCGGCCTCCTTTTCCCACAAGCCCCCAGCTCCTTGCAGGCGAACCTCTCTTTATACCAGCACTCGTCCTGAGCTGTGGGAGGCTGGCTTTGGCACATTCATGGCTATTTTCTAACTGGCATCTACTGAACCTAGACTCTCTAAGGGGTCTCCTAGTCCCCCACCAGCCCTTCTGTCACATGGTGGGATTCGATACCTCTCAACTCCTGCCTTTCTCTGCTTGACATGCATGCACCCCCATGCACACACATGTACATGCACACACACACACACACACCCAGAAGCTCTCCCTGTCCTCTAGGCCTCCACAGCACAGTCTGATTAGGATCACAGGTTTTCTCTGCGTGTCACAGGTTTTCTCTGCCTGCTCGACCACAAAGCTCCCATGGACACATCTTACTCACTGCTGCCTAAGTCCCTGTGGTGTTCAGCTTAGATCTCCAGAGATAAATCTCAGACAACCAGTTCAATACACTCTGTGCTGTCCACGCCCTTCCCCACCATCTCCAGGAGCCCAGAGCTCTCATGCCCCTCCCCCGCTGTGGTCACCCTTCCAGATGAGGACAGGATGTGCCAGGTCTTCACCAAGGCCCAGACGAGGACCAGATGAAGGGTGGTTGGCAGGATTGCTGGAATATGGCAGCCTGGAATAATGCTGGCTAATGTTTATTGAGCATTTGCTATGCTCCAGGCTCCAAATGCTGCAGACCTAATCCCGTAATCCTCACAGCCTCTGCCCCCACCCAGCTCCCCAGATGACAGGTGAGGAGACTAAAATACTGAGATGTAACCAGCCTGCCCAAGGTCAAAGCTCTGGGGACAGAGCCAGGATCTGACCCAGGCTTGTCCACTTCCAGCGCTCATGACCTGGTCTGCTCTGCTGGGGGCTGGAGGGTCCTGTCCAGCTCTGTCCCTGCCTGCCCTGCCATTTTGGAGCTGAGGGAGCAAAGGGTATACGTGCAGGACCCAGGGAGCACCCAGGCCTTGGCTGGTTTTCTGGGGGATGCCAGGCTGGCTGGTCCTGTGGGTCCTGAGCTGCCTGAGGAGAGTAGAGAGGGGTCAAGGCTAAAAGAGTTCCCCCCACTGTTCCCAAGGCTCTCCATCCCAGGTATAAGGCTTCTAAGGGCTCCAAGTTCATGACCTTCTTCTCAACAAACAGACTTTTCCCTCCAGTTATCTAAGTCCCACCCCCTCTGACTCCTCTCCTGGCTGGGTAAAGTTCCTGGTAGCAGCTCTCTACCCTGTAAAAGAATTATTTCGAGTTGGAAGTGACCCTAGAGATCACAGTCCAGTCCCTGCCCCCACCCTGATATGCACCTGAGAAAACCAAAAGGAAGGCAAAAAAAAGCCCAAAAAATCCAAAAGCAGAAGTCTGTAAGTTCCAGGCTTTGCCCAAAAGTGTTCCCCACAGAAAACCGAGTGTGTAGAATCGCTGGGCAGATGAGGAAAAGGTTCCATGGCCAGTTAAGTTTTGGGAAAGCCCTTAAAATAAAATAGAGTGCTCCACTGCAGGAATTCTCAGGGCCTTTAATACGCTAAAGAGAGGGAAGACGATACCCAGGGTTTCCCAAACTGAGTTGACCATGGAGCCCTTTTGCTGCTGATCTGTCAGGAACAGTATTCCGTGGAACATATTTTGAGAAGAGTTACTCCGGCCTCTTGACTCTAATTCCCTACTGGATATAAACCACTCCTACGGCCACAGCGCTGGAACGTGAATGCTGGGCAGAGGCCCACCTCAGTGACCAGGCACGCGCTGTCTCCCTGAACATCCTGTTCTGTCCAAGCTCCCCTCCAGCCCGGCCACCTGACTTCCTTCTTTTGTGCTTTCCAGTGGCGCCCAGACTCAGGTCCAGGTTCTGTCATCCAAGGCACACAGGAGAAGTCTAGTTGCAGCCCGCGGCTAATTGGTACAGGCCTCTGCCACCAGTTACATCCCTCAGTCCAGCTAGCTATGTCACAGGGGCCCTGAAGAGCTGGGAATTGAGACAGGGATGGATTCCCAAGCATAACTGGGTCAGGTCACAGAAAAGAATCACGCAGCAATGTGTCTCTGCGCTCAGCTTCAGGAGCCCATAAGGAGAAAGGCCCAACCTCCCCTCAACCCTCTGCACTGAACTGGAAGCTGTCCCTACAGGCCAACGGAGATACTGATCAGGGGTCCCAGCAGCCTGGGCACAGAGTGCTGGCGTCAGACCACACACTTCCTTGCTGTGTGATTTTTGGCCAAGGCACCTGATCCCCCTGGACCTTGGTCTCCTTTTCTATGGAATGGAGCCAAGTTCCTGGGGATCGAGGGGTGTCCACAGGCGCAGTGCCTAGCACAGAGCTGGTGCTCACCAACCCTGGGGCACCTCGACTTGCCGACACTGTCCCTTCTTTTCCTGTTCGGGCTTTAGTCATCCAGATTACTCGTCCCCGCCGGCCTCCTGAGGCTCCCTCCCCCTCTCACCATCACCATCTCCACGGCAGGAAAACTGCAAAGGATGGACGCTCAGGCGGGACCTCCTGCATTCACACTGTCAGAATCAAAACTGAGGGGCATGTGCCCCCCACTTTCTTTTTACTAGAGTGAAAACAGCCCACTCCCTTTAAAGAATGTGCTCATTAGCCCCATCCCCGTAGAAAGCCATCTCCTACTGGGATCCCCACAGCCAGTACCACTCTTCTGTCCCTCCCAGTGCCCCCACTCCATTCTCCTTTTCTTACCAAGTCACCAGGCAGCCCCCACAAAATGAGCAGGGCCCTCAGCAAATGGCGCTTTCGCCTTCTGCAGAGTTTTCCCAACCATCTCTTCATGCCCGTTAAAATACCCAGAACAGTCATTTTCGTTCACTGAGACAATGGCACATGAAGGATTGAAGCCCACAAGCTTTGGAGCCAGTCTGCCAGGCTTTGAGTCCCAGCCGAGTCGTTTACTGGCTCTGTGTCCTTCAACTAGTGGCTTAATCTCTCTGAGCCCCATGTTCAACTGGAAGCAAGGACAGTATTTCCCTCATAGGGTTGGGATGAAGATAAAACCAAGTAATGGTTATAAAATGCTTATCCCAGGGCCAGGAACTGAGAAAGTACTTGTAAATGTAAACTTATTGTCTTCGTTAAATATCGACTTCCTAGCTCAATGTTGGCTCATAGCCTCAGCAGAAGGTTCCTTCCTTTCTCTTCCCCATCACCCCAAACCCACGAGGCGCCACCATGGCCACAGGTGGTGGGACAATTATTTGATTCCCACCTGGTCTCATTTGGCTCATCCTGGGCCAGTAGGTGGGGGCTGCTTACAAAATTGCCCACACCTGCCCAGGCCTCCTGTGCCTCCGGGTTCTTGACAAACTGCAATCCACCAGTTCGGGTGAGTCTCGTCTTTGCATGGTTGGGGAGTTTGTCTGGTCCTCATTTTTTGCCCCAGTAGAAGCTGTGACCCAGTACACCCCACAGAGGCTGTGAGTGGCTGTTTCTCCCCATCCCTGGGGGGCCAGGTTATCCCAGGCCAAATCAAGTTCAGGGACTGCTGGCCAGGGCCGCCACTGTTCTGGGGAAGCCTCTGGTCCCAAGGGGAGAGGGGACAGGCATTTAGTCTCACTCAGGCACAAGCCCCAGAAACAAGACAGGTTCTGACTCAGCCTCTCTCCTTGGCCCGCAGCCAGCCTCCTTGGCCCAAGTCATGGCAGCAGAAGCCACCGGAGAAGCCAGAGTGATTCCCAAATCTGGAACTGGGGGGCTCAAGCCGTGGCAGGCGATCAGTCCAGCCCAGCCTGGCCAGGCAAGTCTATCCCAGAAGGCGGCCCAGCCGGGCCACCTACCTCCAGACTGGCACCAGGAGAAGTCCCAGAAGCCGAGAGGTCTTCTCAAGGAGCTGGGCGTGAGTGTCCGTTTCCTGGGGCCCTGGAGGGAGAGGGGAGTGGGATACCTGGGAAGGATGCTAGGATGCCCTGAGGACAGAGGACGGTGACAAGAAAGCCTCCAGCTTCCCTCCTTAACACTCATCTTAAAATTGAAAAGGCCATGAGAGGTGGTGGGAGGCTGTGCACACCTACACCGGCTCAGGGTCGGCTCGTAGGAAGTCCTCCACAGAAGACATGGCCTCCCCTTTCCTTCTCTCCCCCATCCCTCCAAATCTGGGTGGCACTGGCATGGCCACAGTGGTAGGACAATTACTTGATCCCCGCCTGCCTTCCGGAGGAAGTGGTCTTTCCTTACAGACCCACCAGGAGCCCTTAGAAGGTAGAAGCAGGCTCATCTCAGGCAGTTGTTCCAGGGCACCCATGACCTCCTAACAGGGGTTCACTGTTCCCTGCCCAGGCCTTCCACATTGTCATCGCTCTGCTCCACGTGTTCCTCGGGGGTTACCTGATCTCTACAGTCAAGGACCTTCACCTGGTGGTGCTGAAGTCCTGGTATCCATTCTGGGGAGCTGCCTCTGTGAGTAGGAGCCAAACATGGGCTGGGTGTGGAGGCCAGCAGGTGGCCTGGGGGACACTGGCCTCTGGGACCAGGTGCAGAGTGGGGAAGAGAGCTCATAGGAAGGAGGCACCAGCCAGCGCCTTCTCCAAATCTCCATGTCTCTGCTTATGTCCTGCAGCCCCGCTGGAAATGGCTCCCTCCCAGGAGAGCGCTCCCAAGTTCTGTGCTCTTTCCTAATTTAACACGTGCCTCCAGCAGAGAAGGGAGCGAGTGTGAGCTGGGGGCAGCTCCACCTTTCCCAGGCTTCTGGGCAGCCAGGCTGCCTTTGCACGAGCAACACATCCCCAGGGCCCTACGTCTCTGTCGGTGTCGACCTGCCAGAGCACGAAGGTGTAAGGTGTGGCTCCTGTCCTCTCAAGGCCATCAGCCAGGATGGGACAGGAGAGGAGGCCAGTGCATGGTTCCCAGAGGCTCCCCAAGGCATCCTCCCCGACCTGGGTCCCTGGTGGAGTCCTGCTCACACGCAGTCCCGGTTCCACAGCACCCTCTCGGGCAGGTGTCCCAGCCCCCCACTGTCACTCCAGTCCACTGTGCCAGCTCCAAGCTTTCAGTGCACAGGGATGAAACGGTCTCCATGTGCGGTGCCTCCCAGTGACTGGCACATAGTAGGCACTCAGCAGACGTTTGAAAGAATAATTGCAGAAATACACTAGAGACCTTAGAACCGAGAGCTAATCTCCACATTGCAGGATTCAGGAAGGTGAAAGGGTGTGTGTGGAGGGGATAGTGCAGCTGACCCCGGAGAGATGGCTTGGGCTAGTAAAGGGGAGAAGCGGGAGGGCCTGGGAGGCACAGCTTGATCCCAGGCATCAAGGTTTGTGTGCAGAAGGCACGGAACCCTGGTTAAGTGAGCCTGGAATGGGCCACGTGGCAGGCAGGGTGAGCCCCCTGTGTTGGTGAAATAGTATTCTCAACCCCACTGGTCACCAGAGGTGGGTTTTCTTACAGAATAACAGCAAGGGAAGGGATTTGTAGGTTTCAAGGAACCCCAGCTTCTCTCTTACGACTGTTTCAAATCTGGCCTGCAGTTTCTCATTTCAGGGATCTCGGCAATAGCAATGGACACGGTTTTGAAAACATACCTGGTAAGTTGGAGCATTGAGATCATTCCCTTCCATCCCCAGCCTGGGGTGACCTTATGAAGGGCATCTGTGTGCGTTGGCGATTCAGGAGGCAGCCGTCCAGGATTTCTGGGAGCAGGCACAAGTCTTCAAATCAGCAGAGGGCATCCAAGCGGAAAGGTGCCCACACCCAGGACGTCTGCCCCTCACATCCCTGACTCCATGCCATTCTCTCCACCCGCTGCCCTTCCTCCATCCCAGTTCTGTCCACCGTCATGTCTGGCCTGGAGGTTGCATCCAGCCTGTTCTCCACATAGCAGCCTAGTGACTGGTCTGACTGCAGGTCTGACTGCATCACCCCACTGCTGTCAACCTTGGTTCCCTGGTGTCCTTGGCTTGTCTCCAACATCAGCAAGTGTGCAAGCCCCAGTCGCAGCTGGGTTTCCATCTGCTTCTCATCTCTAAGTGCCAGCCAGACACAGCCGTGGTCCTCCCCTGTGCTGTGCTGTCCACTGCCCCAGCACCTCTACCTCTCCCCACTGCACGTTCTCTCCCAGTTTGGACTTACTCCTGACCATTGTTCAAGACTCAGCTCACATAACTTGTCCTCCTGGAGATTTTCCCTGACCTGGCAGGACTAGCTCCTGTGTCCCACAGCTCCTGGGACTTGCCTGTCCCCTTGTCTCTCTCCCATACACAAAGCTGTGTGGGCAGCAGGTGTCTGAGCATCTTTCTAGTGCGGGGAGAGGGGGCAGGCACAGAGTAGACACCAACACAGAACTGGCTGATAGACGTAGATGATGGGAGGACCGTCCCCTACCAGTCCTATTGCATGGCCTCAGCCCACCCTCTGCCCCAGAAGGCTTGGTCTTGTCCACATTTGTGCCCTCAGCCTGAGCTGGGCTGTGGCTGTTCCCTGCCCTCACAAGGGATGTAGAGAACAGGAGGTAGTTGTGCAGTTTACCCGGCAGAGGCAGGAGACGCTTGGCAAAGACCTGCCCAGTCCTCCGGGGCTGGGAGCTTCAGACCCACCAGCCTCCCCTTCCTATACCTGAGCACAGGGAGCCTCTTACTGTAGAGAAATCCATTTTAGTACAAGGCGTTGGAGGTTCCCTCTGTCCATATGTTTCCCCATGACAGGGGCTTGCACTTGGTAAGAGGCTCTTGGAATAATGCTTAACCCAAGATGATGATGAATGGAGGCATTTCGGGGACCACGGTAGGCGGGGCAGGGAGCACACCTGGAGTGGGTGAGGACAGGCCACCTTCAGGGCTGCTCCCGCCCTTTCCTGTGGGGAATGGACTCGGTGAGTGGCCATATGAGTGTCGGGTCCCTGATCAGTTGGCATATCTGATACCAGGATGGTCAGGGTTGGCTTTGAGAGGGAGATGAGGTGGGGACATCATGCCTCTGAACTTGGAGGCAGCCCCTGGGTCCCCCAATCCTATCCCATAGAGAGCGAGGGCCACCAGGGCCCCCCCAGTGATCAGCTAGCTCCAAAATTCATGTTTAGATACGGAACTTTTAGCCCAGAGACGGACAGGATCTTTCCTGAGATCACAAAGCGAGCTACTGGCAGGCCTGGGTGAAGGACCTCGGTCTGGGTCTCTAACCTTTGAACGGTTGTCACTTTTGTTATTTGCTTGCAGAAGATGTTGTGCCTGATAACAAACATCACCAGCTTCTTCTGCGTCCTGGCCGGCCTCTTTGTCATGGCCAAGGATTTGTTTCTGGAGAATCCGTTTGAGTCCCCGATCTGGAGACCGTACCCCAACAGCACAGTGAGTGTCCAGGCTCCCAAAGTCCTCTGACTCCCAGAAGGCACTGCCTGGGGTTCAGCCGAGAGCAAGTTTCTGGCTCTCAGAAAACCTTTTCTGGAGCCCAGGTGGAGGTCTTGGGGCCCTCGGCCTACCTGTCCCTACCTCTACCCTCCCGAGGCGTGATGCGTATGGGGATGCTGGCCGTCTCTCTGGTCAGCATCACTCACATCACTGAGCCCAACCCCACCTTTATAGATGCGGAAACTGAGGCCCAGGGAGGTGGAGGGGCCCGTCTGAGGTTGAGCAGCAAGTTGGCAGCAAATTCAGACCCACGGCCTGGAACTGCTGGTTCCCTGCTCAAGGCTCCTGAAATACCAGAGCCTCAGTGACCCCATTCTCTGTGAGCCTCACAGCAGCTTTGCAGAGCTGGCTGAGTCCACTTTGTTACCCCCCTATTCTATAGGAGTGAATGCTGAGGTCCAGAGAGGCTAAATTAGTGGACCAAGGTCACACAGCAAGGTGGGGGTGCAGGGAGGACTCAAAGCCAGATGTACGACTCCAAGCCCGGTGCTCTTTTCAGCACAGCCACCTCTGAAGCAGGAGGTATATTAGCCACTCCACGTGGGTGGCTGTGGGCCTCTGAGTCAGGTTCCAAAGGTTCTGACCATGCTGGCTTGCTATTCCTTATTGCTTTCCACTGAGCCCACACACATGTGAACCGACATGCAGGCACACATGTTCACAGACACATACACACACACACACACACACACACATTTCCCCACTGAATGCTCTGGCCCCGTGAGATGCCCCAACTGCATGGTGGTCCTCAGACCAGAATTTGACCAGACCCACAAGATCCTCCAACCCTCAAACGTTAGGCAGATCTCACTGAGGACACATGGGTGCCAGGCGTTGGGTGCAGAGCAATGGCAGAGACAAACCCAGTCCCAGCCCCACACAGTCCCCCACCTGCCCCATGTACTCCTGGGGGGAAAGCCCCCCTCGGGCCCCTGCCTGTGCCACGCGATGGGTGCAGGCATCCAGCGAGGCCTCCCCCTGTTGCCCCACCTTCCTCTTTCCCGCTGTCCCTCCTAGGTCCACATCCAGAGGCTGGAGCTGGCCCTGCTCTGCTTTACCTGCCTAGAGCTCTTCCTGCCCGGGCCCACAGCTGTCATAGCCTACAGGGACCGCTGTCTGTCTGCAGAGGTGAGAGCCCTCGAGAGCTGGGGACCGGAAGCAAGAGAAGGCTCTGAAAGGGGCGGTATAGACAGGGGGTACATGAGGAGCGCGCCTCTCATTGCTGAGCACTGATTCAGCGGGGCCACAGAGGCAGCCAGTAGGGGCCACAAGGCACAGGGCAGAGAGAATGCCAGTTTGAGGTGAAAAGTGCGGAGCCACCAACGGGAAAACACCATGGGTGCCCCAAACAACAGGCCACTGTGCTCCCAGCTCCAATGGCCCTGGGAGATCTGTGGAGGCCGGGCAGGATGGGAGAAGGGACATCCAGCAGAGGGGACAATTTGTACAGTCATTTGGCAACAGGACAGGGAAGGCCTGGGAGAGCTGCAGCGTGTTGTGGGGTTTGGCTATGGTGGGGCAAGTGGGGGAGGGTGACCAGGGCCGAGCACTTCAGGCATACCAGGGTCTCTCTCTAGTAAGCACTTGAGATAAACGGTACTTTTATTGAACTGAATCTGCTCAACAACCCTTTGAGTTAGGTGCTTACTTCCCTATGCTACAGATAAGTAAACTGAGGCTTAGAGAGGTCACCTCATTTCCCGAGGTCAAATTAGCGGGTCAGGAAATCCAGGCCTTAGCCTGAGCTGTGTCTAACCCACGGCCAAGCCCTTGTCTGCACGTGCGGGTGGCAGAAAGGCAGGCTGGGAAGTAGAATTCTATCCTCGCTCCCATGGCCCTGGCCAGACGTGATTTCCTAGGCATTTTTTTTAAAGGAACAAAGTTTATATTACAATCTTAACGTTAGAACACTATAAAAACATATGTTCTAAATCTCCCATAATCTTGCAGATTTACATTTTGATTGTTTTCATGTTAGTGTCATCCATCTACTGAGTTTTCACATAACGCAGATATGAGTTTGTGGCCCTGAGTTTTAACACCAAGCAAATAAGTTGTCCTCGTTACTGCCTGGCTGTAACTAGGAATAATGTCCTTCTCATTAGGACATCAGAAAGCTACAGGGGGGCCTGGGGCTGTTGAGGCCAACCCCACTTTTAAGGATGGGGAGACTGAGGCCCCTACCTGGCCACAGGAATTAACCATAATTGTTCCCATTTACGACACTTGCTGTGCCAAGCACTGTGGCTAAATGCTGCAGGTGGATATGTCAATTTCCTACTGCTGCTGTAACAAATGATCGCAAACTCGGCAGCTTAAAATGACACAGCTGTATTTATTACCTTACGTTTCTGGAGGTCAGCAGTTTGAAACGGGGCTCGCTGGGCTAAAATCCAGGTGTCGGCAGGGCTGCCTTCCTCTCTGGAGACGCTAAGGGAGAATCTGTTTCCTGGCCTCTTCCAGCTTCTAGAGGCCGCCTGCATTCCTGGGCCTGTGTCCCCTTCCTCCACCTTCAAAGCGAGCGGCCCAGCATCCTCAAACATCTCTCTTCTGTCCCCCTCTTCCTTGTGAATACATTGGGCCCACCCACAGGATCCGCAATCATCTCCCCACCTCAAGGTCACCTGATTAGCAACGTTAACTCCCTTTGCCACGTAACCTGAGATATTCACAGGTTCGGGGATGAGGACATGGATGTCCTTGGGGGCATCCTTCTGCCTACCACACTGGCTCAGACCTTGAACCTCACAGCCCATCTTGGGAGGCAGGTCCTGCTTTCTCATTTCAAAGAAGAGGAAAGAGGCTCTGAAAGGTTAAGTGATCTCCCACGGTCACACAGCCAGGAAGTGGCCAAGCCGGGCCTCTTCCAAAGGCCTTTGTGGACGCCTCCAACTGAGAGGACAGTGCCAGGGACTGGCTCTGCAACCCTGGTTTAGTGCCACCCTGTCACAGATCAGGGATGAGGATGAGGCAGCAGTCACCGGGAACAGTGTCAGCATTAACATGCCCCTAGAATGTATTCGGCTAAGAGGGACCTTGGTGTGTCAGCTGGCCCAGCCCCGTCAGGGAAGCCAACAGGGTAAGTGACTTGGTGGCCAGCACACAGGTAGCCGGTTTGGCATGAGGGCTCGTCAGCTGACTACCCCATGAGCCTCTCCCCAACTCCCTTCTCAAGAACAGGGAGGTGGATGGAGAGAGTCACACATCAGCCTCGTGGAAGTCCCTCTGTCTCTCCACCTCAGTTTCCCCATCTTCATAGCGACCTTAAGACTTCAACAAGTGAGCCAGCAGCAAAGTGCTTTGTAAACAGCCGCTGACTCCACGTATGTGAGCAGTGGGCACAGTGGCTTTTCTTTTGCAGGAGGATGACTTGTTTCTTGTTCCTGACACAAACGTGTTCAGGGCGCCTCCACCATCTTATGAGGACGTGGTTCAAGGTGACACACAAGAGGAACAAACGCAGAGGTGACGAGGCCCTGGGACCCCCCCACACACATACCATCCCTTCCCTCTAGCCCATTCCCCAGGGGGCCATTACCTGAAAGGAGCGAACGATGCTTTTGCAAGAACTGTCTGCCCTGTACCAGTGGCCGAGGTGGGGTGGCCCCATCCCCTCAGGTGCAGGAGGGGCCTCCAGGTCCCCACCCCACTAAGACCACAGCACCTGACTGTTTGGCCCGAGCTGCCTCAGCTGGACCAGAGCATGACTGGGTCCTCCCCACCTGTCCTGCCGCCTTGGGAGCAGACCTGAGCCAGCAGCCTTGGCGTCCATCTCACACCCACTACCTTCCCTTGTCTACTTTCTCCAATCAACAGTGGTTGCTCGGAGAGCTTGTGAAGCGAGCCAGAGATGGGTCCTTGGAGCCCAGGAGGCCTGGCCTTCCCTAGACTCAACCTACTAAGAGTTTCTGGGGGAACTGTGGGTCTGAATTCATGGCTTCAGGGTGGGAGCAGCAGAGGGCTGAGGCGGACAGAAACCATGGCCGGTTCCTCCCTCCTAAACCAGCAACGGCTCTGCCTGCCTCCCTGGGCGTCAGTGTCTCCATCTGTGCCCTAAGGGGTCGAGTGGATGAAGTGACCAGGACCTCCCCACTGGAAAGCTCTGAGATCAGGAGTCGAATTCCGGATTCCGGTGGCGACATCCAAGGTTGCCAACGAAACTTCAGAATTCCACACCTACTTGTGCTAAGTAAAGACGGTGAGGGAGAGAGAACTGCCTCCCTCATTTCGCAAATCTCAGTCATCCAGGACAATCTTCGTGACTTTTGCTTATTTGTAAATTGTGCTCTGTTCCGTTTATGTTTTCTTAAGTTGATTTTTTTTATCATATAATACTATTTTAGAAGGGTACTTTGTATCAGCAACAAACAGGAAGTCCTATCCTTCCATAAAAAGAAGCTAACCACAAAAATAATGTAAACACAGTGAAAATAAAGCAAAACTCACATGCCACCCACCTCTGTGATCTCACCTGTTATTTCTCTGCCCTTTGGCTTGCTCTGCTCCAGCCACCCTGGCTTCCTGGAGGTTCCACAGACACCCCAGGCACAGCCCTGCCTCTGAGCCATCCCCTCGCCCTTCCTCGGCCTGGACTCTCTTCCCCCCAGGTGTTTACAGAGCCCACTTTTTGAAGCTTTACTAAGTTACTGACTCTGGGCCAAGGCCACTGTCATTTCATCTTCCCATCAATCTGTGAGGTAGGTTCTGTTACTATCTCCATTTCACACAGGCTCAGAGAAGTGAAGCAAGTTGCCCAAAGGTGCAGAGCTGGTAAGCGGCAGAGCCAAGATTTAGACCGAGGCAACCTGGCTCCAACCCGAAGTGCTGCCTTCTGACAACACGCAGACACAGCTATAGCGTGGCCCTGCTCTGCGGGAGCTGCTCAGATGAGACTTGCACATACGAGAGGCTACCACACTGACCTACACAGCAAAGCCAGCCCTCGCAGCTCGTGGGAACCCTGTCCTCCCAGACAGGCCATGTCCCCTGTGGCAGCCCACGTTTTTCATCGTCTGGGGGAGCAGTCCTCTCTATAATGTCTTATGACACCCCCTGTGTGTAGAGATGCCCTCAGGATCACTTGCCCTTGCACTGGGTATTCCCAGGGGCCAAGGTTCTCCGACCTGCCTTGTCACCTCCCTTGCTGCCAGTTTTGGCTGTCACCTCTGGTTCCAATCACTGGCTTGCCTGTAGCCTCTTTTCTCCATTCCTGTTCTGCTGCTTCTGTGGGTTGCAGCCAGCTTTAGAACAGAACGTAAGGTAGAGGTCATGGGCTCTGAGAAAGCATCAGAGAGAGCCAAGAGCTGTGCAAACGTGGGACACGTACAAGCTTTCAAACGAGGAAAGTACAGGATGGAAAGAACCTCACTGTGGAGACCTGGGTACAAAGTCCAGCCCCGCAGTGACTTACCTTGTGATCTTGACTCAGCCCCTTCCCCTCGGTGGGCCTCAGTTTCCCCATTTGTAAAATGGAACATTGTGCTAGACTGGTGGTTTCCTTCCATAAAGGGAGAGAAGCCACCTTCTTGATATATGTATTTTTTAAATCTACAAATAAAAGACTTGTGGAAACAACTTCCCTTTAAAAGGGCATGATGTCCTGGCCTCTGCAGGTGGCTGGTGGGAGGTCATACTGGGTCAGCCGGCCTCAGTCCAGTGTGCTCACCGCCCAGTCCCGCTCAGGCTGGTCGACGCCAAGACCTGCTGGAGTGAATCCTGCCATGAGACAGTTGACACCTGGAGCACAGAATACAGAATTTTGAGCACCAGGTTAAAAACTGAAAGCAATCTTTGACTACTGTTGATGTTGTCGCTAGATTTTAGTCAATATTTTGACATGTATTCAGTCCTTAAGCTAAACCTAATACTTTCCCCATTGTGAAAAAAATTCAAACATTCAGAAAAGTTGAAAGGCTAGTACAGTGATTGGAGTGTTAACAATGTGCATATCTGCTTTCTGTCTTTCTCCATTTGTATCTATATCCCTCACATACATCCACGTACACATGAGTACACGCTTACGTTTCATATATATAATTTTTTGTTAAACCATTTGAAATTAAGTCGCAGATGTCATAACCCTTTGTTCTCAAATTCTCTCACCTGCATTTTTCCTAAGAATATGGATATCCTACATAACCACAATGCTATTATTGCACTAAGAAAATTAAAACCATGAAGAAGCTGAGCTGAGTCTCAAGTGGAGGAAAGTGCTCCTGGCAGAGAGAACAGCCTGGGCACAGGCATGGGATTAGAGAAGCAGAAGCAATCACGGTCTCCAAGCACAGGACGCCCACTCCACTCGGGGGTTAGCATCCGCGGTCAGTAGGTAAGATAGAAATCATGGCAGTGGGGGCAGCCAGTTAGCTCAGGTGGTTAGAGCGCAGGCTCATAACACCAAGGTTGTCGGTTCGATTCCCACATGGGCCAAGGATCTGCGCCCTCCACAACTAGATTGAAGACAACTACTTGACTTGGAGCTGACGGGTCCTGGAAAAACACACTATTCCTAAATAAAAATAAAATTTAAAAAATCATTGCTGTGGACGGGATGTTTGCATCCCCCAAAATTCTAGGTGGAAACCCTAATCCCGTTAGGCTTGGTGGGGACTAATTGGAGGTGAGGACTTTGGGAGGTGATTAGGTCATGAGGGTGGAGCCCTCATGAATGGGGTTAGTGCCCTTAGAAGAGACAGGAGAGAGCTCACTTCCCTCTCTGCTCTCTACTGTGTAAAGATACAATGAGAAGGCAGCCGTCTGCAGGCCGGGAAGGGGGTCCTCACCAGAGGCCAATCGCGCTGGCACCTGAACTCGACTTCCACCTCCAGAGCCGTGAGAAATGTTTGCTGTTTAAGTCACCCAGCTTATGGTACCCTGTTCTAGCAGCCTGTGCTAAGACAATCATGTAGGGTCAAAGTCACGTAGGGACTTGTTCTTGAAAATCCCATAAATTACCCAAAAGTTCAGTAATGTGAACCAGACCACATGAGGGAGCAGCACATCCCAGTAGCTGCATAGTCGGCAGGACTTACAGGACCAAGGGTGTATCCTAATGGGAGAGTTAGAGCAGCAGGGATGCAAGACAGATCTGCAGGATTTCCCTGCATAGCCTCCAGCTTGGAAAAATAACAGGAAAGGGCTGGGGCTGCCACCACGTCCTGGAGGGCACCTGCTTGAACCCAGAGTGAGGGAACAATGCTCTCAGCAGCCCATTGCCTCCTTGCCAGGGCCCAGGAGCTGGGTGACATCCTGCTAGGGCTACTCTGGGGTAAGGGCTCAGCTTCCCTCTGGCTCGCTTCACCTTTCCTTTTGTAATGCTCCACACCTGTGCATGGGTGCCTGCACCATGCCTGAGCAGGTCTTGGTCCATGGTAAGGTCAGCAAGTGGGCAGAGGGTGCCGGTCTAGCTCTGATGTCAGTGTAAGCAGCTGAGCCAGACATCTGAATCCCAGATACTGCGTTCACTGGCTGGGGCCTCTGAGCCCCAGTTTCCTAAATGGGGCTCACTTACCTTGCCCGTGAGCCCTAATGATAGGAAGAGCAGAGAGAGCCAGACGCTATTTTTCATGGGTGACACTCAGACGCAGCATGTGAAGGGCTAGGTCACAGTGTGGCTCTCAGGGTCAGAAAAGCCTAGGAGGAAGCTGGTCGCACTGTGGCACAAATGACCACAAACTCTGGGCACTCAGCCTAGGCTGAGTGTTCTGGAAGGAGAGGTTGAAGCAACCAGGGTGCTTGAAAACACAGCCCAGGGAGGGTCGGGAGCACAGGCTTTGTGCTTGGGCACAGATGAGCTCAGATGCCAGCTTTGAGACCTCAGGCAAGTGACTTAGGCTGCTGAGCCTGTCTTCCTGACTGAATCACAATGATGAAGGTGCCTGCCCCACCCCGACTCCGTATTCTGACAGCTAAAGGATTCAATGCACAGAGCATGCTCAGCACACTCAGAACCTGGCATTACTTGTGGAATTGACATTACTGATGAATAATATCTCATGAAGGAGGGTTGGGCTAGATGCCCGAGCCGGTCCTACCTCAGGTGACTAGGGTTCTATAACCCGTGGTGCTCGGCTGGGGAGGGGAGGCCTGGGTCTGCCCCTAGTTGGCTGAGTGAGTTTGAAAAGCGTTCATTCTCCCCAGGCCTCTATTTCCTTTGCTGCTAAGTGAGGAGGTAGATGGGGAGTTTGTGACAATGACACCTAGACAAAGGTCAGTTCAGCTGATTCTTGGGAGACAGAGCCTCTTCCAGGAACGCTCCAGGCGTTAGCTCACCCCACCCCCACCCTCCAGGCCCTGTAGATCCTTATTGCTTGCTCCATGTCAGCTGTGGGGGCATTCTTGCTGCCACCCCGAACTTCCGGTGGAGTGCTTGTGAGTACCCTGGAGACCTCAACTGGTGGAGGCCCAGAAGTGAGCCAGGGAGGCCACAGGGACTTGGGGCCTGTACTCCCACCCTGGGCCATTGGAGGAGAGTTTAAGTCTGCAAAACGGGGGTGAAGGTGCAGGATGTAGAGCTGTTCTGAGCTGGAGGGGAAGATTTCCTCCACTCCACCGAGCTCCCCCAGGCAGGAATGGGAGGCCCAAGGGAGGGTGCTGGGGCCAGCTGCTTCACTGCACCTGGGTTCAGGGAGGAGGGGAGTCAGGAAAGGGCCCCTATCCCAGGAGATGTTGCCCAAGGAAGAAGAAAGGTGAGACCCCTGAGAGGCTCCTCCCATGGCGGCACTCAAGTCAAGAAATTCAGCCACCGCAGTGGAACAAACCCCCCAGGATTTAGAATCAGAGACTTAATTTCTAGACCAGATCTATCAATCCTCAGCCCTGTGGCTTGGGCAGGATGTTGCCTTACAGCTACCTCCACGACCCCCACCCCCACCCCCCTGCACTAACCCCTGACCTAACGAGGTCCTGAGGAAGTGTCTCGGAACGCTGAGACCCGG